ACGCGCCCATGGACGCCCAAGTACGGGCTCTGCCGGACTTGGCCCCAGGTGACACGCACCGTTTCTTGGTCATGGCCCGTCCAGCATTAGCGGACGCAGGCTTCATGGAGCATCGCTCTACCTATAAAGGAGAGCGCAAGCCCGAAGGCCAGGGCAAGGGGAAGCAGTACCGCGATCAGTTGCGTGGAGCATACAAGCTTTTGGATTAAGGTTTCTAGCCCTAGGTCTGAGCCTATACACAGCTACCAAATCTATGCCTAAACCTCCGAAAGCCCCAGCCGTAGAGCCTGAGCCTTCTCCTAGTTTAGCTCAGCCTGTTGAGGGCCAAGACTTAACAGAAGAACAGGAGTGGAAGGAGGTTCCAAGGAAACGCAAACCAGCCCGGAAACCACCCCCACCACCTCGACCTCTCAACCTCAAACCCAAGGAACGACCCCGAAAACGATGGGCTGATTGGTCGAATTCAGGGTCAGATGATGATGAAATTAGCAAGCAATTGGGTTTGACCTTGATGAAAGATGATGATTGATGATGGTGTTGGTGGTGATGGTTTGGTGATTTCTTCAGAGGACCCAGGTACTGCATTTAGATCTGTTGGCTCCTTAGCGGTTTTAAGCAAGGCAAGGAAGAGGCTGATAACCAAGGGTATCGCCCTACCAAGGGACCATGACAAGGCCCTTAAGAACCTGCTTAACGTTGCCAACTTAGGAACCACTGTCGGTCCTAAGCACATAGTTGTCTTTACCAGTGAGCCCCACACCTTCCAGTATCAATTCATCCATTGCATCGATGTGGGCACTGCCGCCAGAGGCCGCTGGACTCCCAACGGAGCTGCAGGATTTGGGACCTAGTTTGGTTGTTGTAGCTATTAAGTATAATGATCATAACGAGGGTCTAAATCACTCCGATCTCCTAGACGAAGTGATTGGCCATTGCGAATTGGCAGGAACTCCATACCTCTTAGTGGACGGAGCGCAAACGAACCGATGGCAAGAAGCGAGCATACCAATACACCCGATGTATGGTATAGGCGACATCTCTTTCTACGGCAACGATCAAGGTTTATTGGATGACTTTGAGGGTTGGTGTACCAATAGCTATCCTATCCCTATATGTCACCCCTAAGCTTTGACGATGTGTTTGCTCAAGACTTCATAGTCTGGCTCAAGCACGTTGCAGAACACCAAGTGGCCACTGCGCTGGTGTCGCAAGCAGCATACCCATCAATCGAGGAGCTCGATGATGGAACACTCGATCAGGTTGAGTCACCCCAGGACTTTGCGTTGATGGACCCTTCAGAAGAGGCCATCACTGAGGAGACTCAGCTCGATGAGGTTGATTTGCCGGGACTACCCTTAGAGGAGTCCGAGCGAAGAGCAAAGTGGCGTGCAGTGCCGCAGCGAATCCGCGTGGCGATTCGAAGGCTTCACCGTCAATCTGGTCATTGCCTAGGAAGGTTTTAATCAATCTCCTTAGGACTGCCAAGATCGACAAGGCCTCTGTCGACGCCGCGAGGTTCCACAGGTGCAACGAGTACGAAGACGCCAAGCCACGACGAAACGCGCATGCCGTATCCTTGCCGGAGCGGTATTCATTCAACCACGCCTTAGGATGCCTTAGGCATAGATGTCTTCGAGTGCTTGGATGCACAAGGCACTAAGCACCAGATAATGAATATGGCTTGCTTAGGCACGTGCTTTCAGCTGGTAGAGATCGCACGCGTAGGCGATGGTCTCCCATCTTCAGCGCGATGCCTTGAGGCCATACAACGTCGATGGACCTCGTGGGCAGGCCTACCAGCGGTCCTACGATGTGATCGAGGACTCCACAATCGAGGCGTGCTAGCACAATATTGTGCAGCACACGGGATTCAAGTATCCCACGCACCGTTAGAGGCCGCCGAATCCATCGGCAGGGTGGAGCGCCACGGGGGAGTACTCAAAACAATGGTTCGCAGGTTGTGTCGCAAACCCAGGCCGCAGGTCAGGTGCAATTGCAGACAGTCTTGGATGAGTGCTGTCTCACCAAGAACACCATGCTTCGACACGGTGGATATTTACCCTCACAGTGGGTGCTCGGGAAGATGGCAAGAGGGCCTCCATCCCTAGTGGAGGAGGACAACAGCGCAGACCTTGGATCCCGAGAGCAGGTTTGCATTAATCCATCAGGCACGTAATGAGGCTAAGAAGGCATTTGTTCACTTAGATACATCTAAGCGTGTGCAGAGAGCTTTGCTAAGGAACGCAAAGCCACTGCCTTACACGTACTCCGTTGGAGACGTGGTGTGCTTCAGGCNNNCTAGGATCATAGGCTTTGAGGGTAATCAAAATGAGAATGTTTGGGTTTTATGCCAAAATGTTTCAGTTTTGGTTTCCGCTCAGAATCTGAGACCCGCTCAGGACGCAGAGGCACTAGCTCACGCAGTGCTGCAAGGGGAAGCTATTCTACCAGAAAGCTTATCCAAGGACAGTAGCAATTCGAGGACTTGCGTGATGTGCCCTGAGAGGACATCGCAGAGGATGTGCCTGTTGAGGAAGAAGCCGAGGAGGGACCATCATATGGCCTTCTAGATGGACCTCAGCCCTTGTCTTCGATCTTCGAAGAGGAGGAAGAAGGTGAGACTCCAGCAGCCAGAGGTAGGTCCAGGTCACCTCCGCCGGTAACTACTGCCCGCTCGCGCAGAGTTAGTGTTGCAGAGCCCGACGCTGAACGGACGCCGAGCCGCCGTATCAGCAGGGCAGAGTTGTTGGACGATCTGCCTGCGTCCATACGCTCACGCCTTTAGGAGAGATGCGTTGAGGAGGAAACCAATATGAGTATTCGAGAGAAACTCATGGGTTTTTGGTCAAACCGTCTGTCTACGAAAGAACAGGTTGAGCGCGAGCTTAAGAAACTCCCAGAGTCCTTGAAGCACTGGGAGTGTACCCCTTCCGTACGACAGCATATCGACGGATCAAGAGCAAAGAAATGGAAGAAGTACGAAGACTTCCAGGCTGCCATTCCCATCAAGGGAGCCCAGTTGAAGGAGTTGCTTGACGCAGGTCATGTGCCTATCCCTTCCAAGTGGGTAGACACTATCAAGAATTTCCACGACCGCCCCAAGCCGGACCACCCGCCAGAGATCAAGCCTGTGGAAATTTCGAAGATTCCACAGAAGTAGGGACAGACGCTCCTACTTCAGACCTCGAGACACATGCCCTTGTTGCCGCATTCGCCGCATTGCATGGAGTGCCAGTAGAATCGTCAGACATACGCAACGCGTAGTTTCAAGCTGAGCCCATCGATAGGGTGGTGCTCATTCGCCAACCCAGTGGAGGTTTGCCTGGCATCGACCCTGAGGCGATGCTTCTCATCCAGTATATGGACTCTGTGATAGCGGGCGCGGGTTTTGGAGGAAAGTTGATAGGGAAGCACGCGGAGTCGGCTTCCAAGTGAGTCGCATATTCACCGCCTGTTACTTTTACCGCGAAGGCGGGAAAGTTGTGTGTGCGTGCTCACAACGCACGTAGACGACTTTCTATGGGCGTCTATCGATAAGGGCGGTACCATTATAGATCGCTTACTCAAGAAATTTGCGGTCGGCCGCCGCGAGTCTGGAAGACTACGCTTCTGTGGCAAGCAGTTTGACAAGTCAGCCAACGATGTATTAATTGATGCCATCGATAATACGAATAAGATAACCTATATTGACATTAAGTCAAATAGGAAGCACACTGATCAGATTGATCGTGGTGAGGAGCGCCAGCTCCGATCAGTAGTCGGCAGTCTTTCGTGGATATTTAGGCAAGCCAGGCCCGATATTCTTTATCGCGTATCGAAGCTACAAAGTTCGATAAAAGGTGCAACCATTGCCACGCTGCATGAGGCTAATAAGGTTTTGGAATTAGCTCAGAAGGGACGCAACTTGAAGCTAAGGTACCGTAACGGACCTTTTGACTTTGAGAAGTTAGGTGTGTTGACGGCCTCAGACGCTAGCTTCGCAGGAGAAAGCAACAACAAGTCGCAGCAAACCGAATCCACTTCCTTGTCCCAGAACAACAGCTACGCGACGCGAGCTGTAACAACTACGACGTGATGATAGTGTCGTTTGCATCGACCACCATCAAGCGTGTGTGCCGAGCTACGTTGCAAGCCGAAACGTATGCTCTCCAAAGTGCGCAGGAATCCGGAGATAGGATCCGCGCTGCACTGGCCGAACTTTATGGTTTCGGTTCACGTGGACCCGATTGGGAGCAACTTGCGAGAACGAAGCTTCCGCATGTATGTCTAACGGACTGTCGCAGCCTGGCAGACCATCTCAATACGGAGGCCCGGCAAGAGTGCAAGACAGGAGACTCCAAATAGAGCTCAGCGCACTAAGGCAATCGATATTCACCGAAGACGGGAATAGAACTTTCGAGATTTACCTTGCAGGAGGAGATCGTGTAGACTGGATTGATACATCAACACAAGCTGCGGACTGTTTCACAAAGAGCATCAAACCTGATTTTATAATCAAGGTAATAAACGACGGCGTGTACAGAGTAAGCCGTGCTAAGCTGTAGACGCAGGTCGCAGACGCTACATCCGGACATACGCCTGTATGTACCACAGTAGCTGAGTCCGGGAGCGGTAGACTGCAGACACCACATGCAATGGGGATGACAACTATGTCATACCTCCAGTGGTTAATTCATGGATCTGAACTACAATTCATGTATCCCTGTGATGACCATGGTTGTGAATGTGATATATGTTTTCCCGCTGCATTTAGGGCCCTTGAGCATATCAGACAGCTTCGCAGTGCTGGTGAAAAGTCCGACCAGTTTCATAAGTGTCCTTGAGAAGCGCAGCCGCGGTGCGCCAGCGCCACAATGGTTATGACGGGTGCTGCCACGGACCCCACCAAAGGGTAAAAGCAATCACAGCAGTATAGAAGGCCAGTGTAAATTGGGACGGGAAGTGGTCAGGTGATTGCAAGATATTACAAGATCACCTCTCAGGAACAGTCTTCAGCTGAGGTGCCAGGTTCGTGGGATCTGGCACAAGCTTTTCTGGAGCCAGAAGATGATGAGGTGCTCTGGCTTTATGAGTCGTCAGGGCAAAATGGACCTGATGTGAGCTCAAGCTTTCCGAGCGCAATGCGTCCAGCATCAAGGCTTGATTAGCTGGCGCCTGCTATTTATGGTTGTCCGAACTTACACAGCCTTGTTTCAAGGAGCTGGGCCGGGCGATGGTGCCAGGGGCTGCGCGAAGCGTGGCGGGAAAACTTGCCGAGGACGGAAACAGGAACGTGCTTGCTGGCTGACACGTGACGTTTTGCACCCCGAGAGTATTTTTGACATTGCTGCACTCCGCCCCGCAACGGGCTTGTAGACTGTGCCCTGTTCAACAAACCATCACCGGAATAAACCCGGGTATGGGGTACTAGTTTCCCATGAAATACGTCGTGACGCCTCCATGACACTCACTTCTCCAAACTTTCCTATTGGTCCATGACGTGCTACCTCAAGGAGTGGCAGCGTGGCCGGGCAGACGCAGCAGCGGAACTTCGGAACTGGGACCGCACCGAGCAGGCTGGGCAATGGTGAAGCCGGAACCACGATTCGCGATTCGTTCAAAGCGAGACTACGCTGACTGTGTCGCAGGGTGGCTTAAGCTGGGCAGCTGCTTTTGATTTTACCGTGCAGTTTGGCTCTCGAACTTCGCTTTGCGCAAAATTTCTTTGGACACTGCTGACGTCGGCCGGGATGCCTGCATTTTCTTTGCCTGAACAGGAGATTGCCCGCAAAGAAGGCCTGCAGTGCCAAAGAAATCTCGGCTTGGAGACTAGCGGAGTTCTGGGTGTGTTCAGCCATTGAAAGAGGTGAGGATGTTCAGCAACTTTCTGACCTTCAGTAGTGTTTTCACTTGTCCGGGGACGTCTGGCCAGTGTGCACAGTTTGGAGGGCCGGCAGCCGTGTGAAGTCCAGTAGACAGCTGTCAAAGCCATGACCTCCCAAAGCTCCAAGAGCGGAGTAGGAGACCGGCGGCCCCTCACGGTGCTCTTGTCCGATCTCTCGCCGCAAGAGGCCCTCCATGCAGACATTCATGGCCACGGCCCATGACCTATGACATGATATCAAGTTGGCACTGGTTATTGCATGTGATGTCTGCTGGCAGTGTCCCTGAGGTTGCCACCGGTTTCTTAATTATTGGCGTGCAACATTGGATCCCAGATTTCTCCTACCGATCCCTTGCTGTATTGCGTTATTTGCCTGAGAGCAGGTGGGCTGCTTGCTGCGGACGTGTGAAGCTGCAGGCATTGTGATCGTCCGTTTATTCGCCACTCAGCCAATTACCGAAGTGATCGTTGTGGATACTTGGGCATCTTGTGTGTTCCAGGATTTTTAACTTGTGGATGCACCCTTAGGATTCGAGGAGATCTAAGGGACAACAAGTGAGATTGAAATGTTCCTCAGAGTACACGTAGCCTTTGGACGTAAACTTTTCAACAGCTAAAGCCCGCTGCATATCGAGCTGGACCACATGCTCGGAAAACACGCGCAAGCTTTGACTTTGATGCAGCTCCAAAGTTTTGAGCTTACTGGCTGCCGATGTGTGGTTGACCTCGCAATGACAGGTGTTCCAGAGGTCGTCCTGTGTGATGATACGCCTGGACCGCCTGACCCGGCGGTCCTGAAAACATCTCTGCAGGCCAGCACAACGGATGACCTGGGCACCTTTTTGGGGTAATTGAAGTAGTCGTGCTGAGTCGTTCAAGAGACCTGTTGGAATTCCCTGCTTGCGCATGGTTCCTCGAGTTCCAGTGTGATCAAGCTACAGGTCTTCCCTGCCCGATTAGACATGAGTGTGCCAACAGGACGACAGGACATGACAGGACCTGCCTCGTCAGTATTCGTCAGGGTGGCACAACCCTTCCGTCAATTAAGACCCCGCTTCAGTTTCTTCCATGCTGGCCAGGCAGAGGACTTTCTCCGCATCCGGCGAGTTGCAGGCCCTGCGGAAGAGCTGCGGCGACTTGCTTCGGTGCGAGCCTCGGAGGGCTCGAAGCGACATAGGTTTCGAAATGGCGACTTGCGCCTCCCGACGCTTCGGCAGCGCCAAGGCTGGGATGCAGGTCTGGACCTTGAACTCGGACTCGGACTCGGACAGACTGGGCATGATGGGCTCAGCGAAGCAGGAAGCTGCCCCTTGGCCTAGAACCAAAAATGCGGGCGGGAGGACATCAAGCGAAGCAGAGTTCATGGCATGGGCCAACTCTATTGCTCACCTGCCTGCATGCTTGCCTTTATTTGGGCTTCTTGCATTCAGTCTTCGAGCTCGTGCAGAGGAAAGGGTGGTGAAAGTCAGGAAGGATGGTTTATGTGTTCACCTGTCCATGCTACATGTGTGAGCTGACGATTCCAGCCATCAATAGGCCGGGGTGCAGCACGGTGACAGGCCTGAAAGCTGATTGCTCTCTTTGTTGTCTTCCGCAGCATCTGTGGACAGCTGTTGTTGCAAGGGCAAAACCTCCTGATGTCACGTCTCTGTCGCAGAGAAGATCTCGCATGTTGCTCGAATCCCGAGGATTTGTTCGATCACTTTGTGCCGTGCCCGCCTGTGGCGCTTGGCTTGGGATGTCGGACTCTGGGCTGCAAATCGCCTTGCACGCCGTCACCGCCCCGTTCTGCGTCCAAAAGCGGCTTCTTCATTGCTACTCCGCAATCGGGGGCCATAGCAATCTACAGCCCGTTTGAATGTTGGACTGAGCTCGGAATGAGTAGAAAAAGCGATCTCAGGGTGCAAGGCAGACGCAGGAGCTCCACCGGGAACCCATGGGAACCGGGCCAAGGGTTGGGCTGACTTTCCGACCAATCTCTCACAGTGTTACTGCTGAGTTTCGTTTCTTCACACTTGAGCCTTACTGACCTTGGAAAAGTGTTAGCTGCTCAACATGTGGTGTTTGTTTGCGGCCTGTGCCCAAAACAAATTATTGGACGGTCGGGGCCCGGCCCAAGCAGCAGATTTTTTGTCGGCAATTGAGCATTGCCTGGACGTTAGCATGTCATTCGATTCAGTTGGTTGGGTTCACCACACAACATCACACCACCTTCAGATTCAGCCGCACTGAAGATCATGCAAAGGTGAATCGCAGCATGTATGGGTGGGAGGAATGACTGAACGACGACTTCAATCATGTAGTAGGGCGATTCTCATCACCAGCCTGTTTCCCGTTCTTGCTTAGGATTGCTGGCTTCCCGCGAATCCGAGTATCTCCGGCAGGATATGAAAGTTCCTGAAGACTTAAGTTCAAGCTGCAAGCGCTTAGCACTCATTTCGGCAAACCGCAAGATGCCAGCAGCTGCAGCTCGGAAGCCATGCAGGCCTTTGTCCATTGCTTGTTTCCTCTCCTATCGACACTCGTAGGCGACTGGCACAGGAGGTTTCATGTTTCTCGGATGCTAAGGTACCTGGGCGACAGGCTGCCGGGCCAGATGTTCATCTGAGCATTGGTGTGATCGGGAGCGTGGCAACTTGGCGGAATTACAAGATTTCGAGGCGCTGCTTGCCCAAGATGATAAGGCTAATGATTCAAGTTGGTATGGATAATTTCGGCCTTGTTTCCTCAGGTCATCTACGATCTGATTCGCCGTTTGCGCAAGATCCCCAAAATTGGCAAGATTGTTGACATCTTGATATTGGCAATTTTTCCGCTGCCGCCGACCGCGTTCGGGGTGCTGCCCACCGTCACTGGTCCCTCTTGGGCCTTCCACAACTTGAACTACTCTTGTTTGAGCATGTGTCAAGATGGCTTGGTCTTGGCTCGAGCACGTATGGAGGGCGCTGCGAAGTAACTGCCTCCTGACGCAGACGTGGCGGAGTGGTGAAGGCCTAGTCGTGCACAGTTGGAACGCACAGGTTCGGTGTTCACCTAGACTTGGGGTTTTTGGGGTGTGCGTGGAGGCTAGTAACAGAGGGGCCGAAGTAATAGGGGGAGGGGGGCAGCGGGGAAGGCAGCAGGGGTGGGGGGGATTGGGGGATCTGACAGCTCACAGGCACGGGGAAGGGGGGACGGGGGGGGGGATCTGAGCAAAGCGCACAGAGCCCCATAGTTTCGCGCCGGATCCGGCGCGTATTCGCGTCATAGCTACTACAACAAAAGTTTCGTGCAGGCGTGGGCGGGCCGGCCCCAAGCAGGGGTGGCGGGCGGCAGGAGAAGGCAGAACACAATCCACAGGCGGGCAGGGCTGGGGGGGGCGGCACACAACTTCACTGGCGCTCGACCCAATAAGCGGGGTCAACGGATATCCCGAAATAGGCCGATATATAAATTCTGAATTTGATTAGATACTGATATTGGGTTGATATTTTTCTGGCCGGAAAGATTTTATCTTTCTATTTGAAAAATAAAGAATAAGAAAAAAAACTTTAAAAATTAAAATAACATATAGATGTGGTTTTTTAGTAATTTTATAAGAAACTATTTCTTCGGTTGTATAAGAATAATTTCGATTGAATATTGGGATATTTGTATATTGTTATACCGATAATTATTTATAGAAATTTTTTGTTTATAGTTATTGTATATTGTAGTTATAGTAATAATTATAATTCGTAATTTTCTCGTTTTTCTGTATTTTTATGATGAGAATTATTACAATATAAGATTTCATGATTCGGAATGGATGAAAAATAAGAAGCTGATTGAATATTTTCTAAATATTTTATGTGATTCTTTATCGTCTTCTTTTCGATACGAGGTTTTGATTTATATTTGCTATCGTAGGAATTTAGATATAAATATTTCTTCTATATATAAGGTATTATAGATAATTTGATAAGAAATAATACTATAAGAGAAATTCTCTATTTTTCATTATTATATGATAAAATTAAAAGAATAAATATAATACTTACTATTTTCGCTGGAATATAATTTTCGAACTTTTGATTAATTTGAACCCTATAATATGGCTTTATAATCTACCGGCTATCGACCCTACTCTCCATGATTTTATTATTTCATTTTGATCTTTGAAATCTATTTCGTGGAAAATATTTTCTCGCTTTATTTTGATCATATATTTACGTATTTCAGAATTTGGACTATTTTGCAAAAAATTGTTATCGAGACTCTGCGGCGTGCAGATCGGCGGCCTTGATTCAACTCACGAAATGGTTAAGCACGATTCTAATGAATTTCATCGATTATGAATGAAGATTTGACGAAATCTCCAAACGATATCTAGCTACAATTTAGGCTCCGAATTATCTTTGGAAGATTTGAAAGAAGATATATAGATCTTTTATTTAATTTTTATGCCAAATTTGAGTAACGTTAGAAATCTCGATTCGTGGAGGTCAAGTGTATTTAATTATCTGATTTTTTTATTTGTAGAAAGACATATATGGATTGTTGAATTATTTTCAATCATCTATTGTGGAATGATTAGAAGAATTGAATATAGAATTCTTGATGGATGGTATAATTTATTCTTCTTTTATTTATTAAATTGTCATTGGGATTATCTTTATAGTCGGTAAGTTATCATGTGGTTTCGTCTCCGATGAGCAATACCGCACTAGTCTGAATAAATGCTTCTGTGTTGTCTCTCGATATATTACTAATTCTATTTCTTTATCTTATTTATTTATCCGGGGTGAGGATGAGCTTTAATACATGATGGGAGATATCGTTGAGCTCGAATTCTTCTCCTTTCTTCTTAGGATTTGGCTCTCTTGATTTCTCATGTCTAGCTGGTATTTTTGGGCACAAGATCGCTCGTGTCGTTACTGATTGTCTCTCGATTGATCATTGAATAATATTGAAATATCGTTTTCCATATGCATTCTTATTTGAGAATGTCGGGAATTATATGGATGCTATATGTGAGCATATTATTGGAAGATTATAAGATTAATTAAAAAATTATATATATATATTTGGATATATTTATTTGTTTAAGATATAAATATTTCTTATTTTTGATTTATTATCGTTTAGAATAAGATTAATGATATCTTTATAATCTTTCGATTTTTCAATTATCTCATATCTCTTCCTCATTTATTCTTATTTTTTTTGACAAGAATTTATTTTATCTTGATAATACCGAATCCATCTTTAAATTTTCTGATATTATTATTACTATTATTATTAGGCCAATATTTTATAGATTTCGCGACAAGAGAAAAAGTCTCATATATTATTTTGTTATCGCTTCGTTCAGCTTCATTGTCTCTATATACTTCTAAGAATTAGAGGACGAGGGGAGGATTTAATATACGACGGTCTATCTTGGAAAATTACGATATTAATTCGTATCTTTCGTTCTTTCTGGAAATTTCATTTCTCTCAACTTCAGAGAATTGAAGATTTTGGATACAAGATTATTCGTATCGAGCAAGCCTGAGATGGACCTCTAAATCTCGAATAGATATTCGTCTAGCAATTGCCGATCTACAAGTCCAAATCGTTTGGAGAACGACAATATTTCTATTTCGAGAAGAAAGAGTATTGATTATATCTCTTATATTTATGCAAGAATTTTAAAAATCTTCTTATGAAAAATTCAAGAAGAAATATTGGTTCCGGGCTGAGAGCCCGGGATCTAGATGAACAAGTGATCCGGGAGTTTCGGGCTAGGTCTATATCTTCCATAGATAAAAGGTATCGTTCTCGGATCTATGGCGCAGTTCTGGGCACATTGCGCGTATAGATTGGACGAAACCAATCCTAATCTCCGATATTTTTTCCCAATTTTAGTTCTTGCAACAGCTACGTGCCCCGGGATCCTAACCTGAATAATTCAACCGCCCCTCAGATTAATGTTGTTTGGAATCTTGATCCATAACTATACAATAGATAAGATTGATATATCTATGCCGAAATACAAAAAAATATCTTTTTTCAATTTAATAACGAGCGATCATATAAATAATATAAAATGAAATATTATTGGCATATTTCGTGAAAGGTTTGAATATGAATATATATAAGAATTCTACCGACGTCCATCGCAAGATCTTGATATAAATCAAGAGCCCGGCGCTTATTGATAAGACCCTATATGTAATAATTATAATCCTTCCATGAATTATCGATCTTTATTTAATATTCTAAATTCCATATTGAATCTACTTTTCCGGCAGGTCCAGACCGTATCTCTCTAAGGTTCGCAAAATCAAATCTTCATTTCAAGAGAATGCGCCCATCATGTCGTTCAGGTTCGGCGTGAACACACATTCAATTGTAATACTAAATTCTTCCACTCATAAAACTCGTCGACGTGAGCTCGCACTTAACGACCACACTGTATTCTGTCAATCAAAATCCAATACAACAAAAATAAATAATCAATAACAACAAAAATAAATAATCAATATATGGGAACCTATACGACCAGACTCCAAACAGATTGTATTTTTGTTTTCTCTACAAAATATTTTTTCGGTGCGAAAAAACCCAAAGAAAAATGGGTTTTCGGCGGAAAAAAATAATTTTCTCCTAGGTAAAGATGATTTTCGGCGGAAAAAACGAATATTTTTCCCTATAACAATGATTTTCGATTGAAATGCAAATCATACAAGAAAATCCGTTTTGCCTAGAAAAAATCAAAAATATCTATTTGGAATCTGGGCTTATAATATTCTCCAAAATTACTCTTTTAGATTTCTTTTTTAAGATAATTGATTTTCGATAGGGAAGTCTTTTTTTCTTCGGTAAAAGCTTGTTTTCCACCGAAATCCAATATTTTTCAAGGGAAAATTGAAATTTCACTCCAAGGTCAAATCTTTCTCAGCAAGAAGAGTATGTTTTTGATTTGTTATATATATATATATTACAAATTAATCTTTCTTAATTCGTCGTCGAATATCATGAATATTGGGGTTCGATTCCGCTTAGCATTAATATAAATTAATGATAATAGTCAGGATATTATTGGGATTAATTTTGAGAAAAATAGAGAGCTAGTGTCGCAAATTTAATATAGACCAGGACACAAGATATCAAGGCAATCTCAGCTTTCATTTCGATTCTTTCTAGCTGACTGAGATTATAACTTGAATACCAGAAATTTCGGGATCAGATTAAAGGTGGTACTAAGCCTACTATGGATGACCTTAGAGCTGCTGTCTGGGCGAATATCATTGATACATGGGCAAATGGTAAGGATAGTATTAGAGCTGATATTGATTGGATTCCGGAGTCAATTAATGATCTTCGTCATTATATTATCATGATGATGATATCTAATCTAGATTTAGTCTTAAGATTAGCATGAATATATTCAGATATAAATGCTGATATATATCTATGATCAAATTTGATTTCAAGTCCAAGAAGGTCATATACTATAATAAGAAAGGAAGAATCATATATATATATATTATGATGAGATATATGATCAAATACGAATATATATCATCTTTGAAAATCTAAGGGTCACCCTTTAGATAATGCCAGAACGAAGATAATAATAATCATGATTCTGAATAGATATCGTTTTATATCTGGATTAATCAATCTATTGATAATATCAATGATCGTGATTTCTCTTAAATTCATTATTTAACATATTATTGAAGGATGAATCTCGTGCCGTAAGAAGATTATTAATCTGAACAACTTATGAGAAATATTAATCTTGACAATAAGATCTATTTTGGAATCATATCTAAGAATGCCAAGGGAACTACAATATTCTTTTTATCGGAGACGAATCAGGACGATATATATTAATTAGAATAAGATTCAATCGGTATATCATATTTTAACCTATAGAAATCAAGATATGAATATATAAGAATTCTATTTTGGAAGAATATGAATTAGAAGATTATTGAGATAAAT